TGTTTCATGAGATACATGCAATTTCAGGGCCCTTTCACAAGTGTGTTGCCTTGGGTTAGACTCAACAAGCGTCTTCAGAGAATCAATTTCAACTTTAACATGTCAGCCCCTGCCAACACAGTTTTTAAGGCTAAAATCACCTGAACGAAATTTGCTGAACCATCGTTGACACTTACGAACGTTCAAAACATTTCCATAGACTTCTTTGATATTCTTTGTGGCTACAGAGGCGTTGTTTTTCTTTTTGCCGAACGTGTGTCTCGTTGTATGCCATCACTATAAGAGTGTACTAAACTTTACACATAATACATGATACACTAACGTTACGTTTAGGCGGTTCGTTTAACTATTACACGTGATGTATATTTTTGGGGTGGTGGTTAATGAAAGTATTCTAAAACGCGACATTATTTTCTTGACGACCTAATATTTAGTTTAATTTCGTGAATGAGACGGCCTAGATGGACAAAAAAGTCCGTTTTTGTCCATTAGTGTTATGTTATTGGCAATGCCTTAGGTTCTCCAGCTAAAAACACTCTAGTGATCTTTCGTAACAAAACACAGCATAATAACAGAATGATTCGATGTAAACCAGAACAGACGTAGTTCCAGACTGTTTACAACCACAGCTGCACTGGTTGACAACCGAATGGACTGGTTAACATATTTTTGTTACTGATATTCGAAAAATAAAAAAAAGCTAGTTTTTCTAGAAATGGTAACACGCAGGTACAAAAATTGATGACGAGGAACCCACTTTGAGACTAATAATGCTTGGAGACGGCTTCAATGGGTAATGAAGAAAAACTTTAATATAAGCTTAACGTAACAGCACATGTACAACGTTTCGACAAGGTTCTGTCATCATCAAACGTTTTAAATTGTAATTTACAATATTCTACATAAGGAATGTGCAACTTTATAATTTTAACATTTTTTGTGTAAAAACATAAAATAAAAAAATGATACTGTTTTTGTGTAACGTGAGATATCAAAAATTACATTAACCCTCAGATTACCGACTTCTTTATATGCCGTTCGCTACAGACGAGATCCACGTATTGAGTAATTTTATATTTTTCTCTGTTACACTACTCAGTTTAAATAACAGAAAGAGAGATTTTCATCTATAATTAGTGAAATTAATTGCAATATTTGCTGTATTTCTACTTAGTAAAATGTATACAAAAATTCGGTGGGGGTCCATATGGATCCCACCAGTAATACTAGAGTTAATATATAACAAAATATAGCTTCGTTTTATTGTTTCGTATTAGTCACAAAATTTAACTTTAGAAAATTAAATTTAAGGATCCCACCAATAATACTAGAGTTAATATATAACAAAATATAGCTTCGTTTTATTGTTTCGTATTAGTCACAAAATTTAACTTTAGAAAATTAAATTTAAGGATCCCACCAGTAATACTAGAGTTAATATATAACAAAATATAACTTCGTTTTATTGTTTCATATTAGTCACAAAATTTAACTTTAGAAAATTAAATTTAAGGATCCCACCAGTAATACTAGAGTTAATATATAACAAAATATAGCTTCGTTTTATTGTTTCATATTAGTCACAAGATTTAACTTTAGAAATTTAAATTTAAGGAAGAAATCACACATCAACTAAAAAAGTTTGTTTAAACTGAAGATTCTCCAACATCTAGAACTCGATGCAACACGAAGTACATAGTTCTTGTGCAGCTTATAAACCTCTGATAATAAATAGATCGGCATTACCTGCACAAACCGTGCACCATCAGTGCATATTTGCTTTATTTATATGGTAATTTGAGTTTCCTCAGCTGCCTGCCCATGCAAAGTTTATTTGTGTCTTCGTTGTTCTCATATTTTGATAACATCTATGAAGAGAAAATTGTTGTCGTTAATTGTGCTTATTGTAAGTGAAATTTCATCTTTTGCAAACAAAAAGAAATACCAACATCCATCAGATGCAGATGTTAACGTTTGTTGGTCATAGAACTTAAGTTATTTTCCAGCTACTTAAAAATAAAGTCTCTAACTTGAAACTATCATAAATGTTTATTACATGTTTAGAAGTGCCAACATCAGAAGATACCAACCTAAAAGAAATAATTTTAGTATGGTATCATAAAAAATATAGGTTTGCAGTGGCCTAATGGTTAGTGTATCGGACTGCCAATCGGAAGGTCCAAGGTTCGAGCCGCGATAAATCTACGCACTTTCATTTATGTGGACGTTATAACTGTAACAGTCGAGCACGCTCTTCTGTTACTTTTGAAACCATGTCACTTATTTGAGTTGTCAAGTCCAAATACAGTCAACCAAAACGGTCAGTTGTTTTTGTTTGCTATTTTCACTTGTTTTGTTCTACTTAACTTGTTGTTTTAGCCTAAACGACTTTAATTTATATCAGCAAAACCATTTTCAAACTCAGTCATTTGAGAAACAATCTGAAGAATAAATGGCGGATACAGGCTTTTGGAACATCCAACTGTTTAAGCATAGTATAAGCTTTATGATATGTAGACCTAGTTGTAATGATTTATGTAATTCCTTAATAATATGTCAAATAATAAAATAAATATATCGTTTTTATAATAACCGTGATAAAGGAAAAGAGGCGTGAGTTGGATTTGTGATAGAGCTCTGAATTTCGAAGCTGGCAAACCAGGTTTGAATCTGTGCCATACCATTAAATATTCCCCGAACTTGCTGTATGTGCGTTATAAGAGTGACAGTCAATCCCTTAATATGGATGGTGGTTGGTAGGGTACTGCTAACTTACTGGCTACTCTCTGGTCAATAGCTCAAAATTAGGGACAGTGGCAGATAGCCTCAGTAGCTTTCCCATAAGTACAAATAGAGAAAGGATATACCGTTCCAACTTTAATTAATGATCATATATATAATAACAACTGTATATTTTAGTTTCACAAGACACGTGACAACATCTGTTTATGTATTTTTTACTTTTTTTTTCTTTTTGCTCATGAAGAACGGGGGGGGGGAGAGTAGATTCTGACCTTCTGAGCTCTCTCTGCATCCACCTTTGACGATTGTCTTGGTAAGAATAACAGTTTGTAATGTTTATTTTAGGTTGTTTCGAACGAAAAACTTGTGTACTAAACATTGCTTTTTTTTTCTTCAAATTCACTTCTACGATTTGTTCGTTTCCATCATTTTTCACCAAACATTCTATTTTAATACAATAAACAAACAGCAAGTAATTAATGTATATCTTGGTTTCTCTGCTTTTTTCAGTTACAAAAACTACACTTTTCTCACCAATCCAAAAGGAACAGCGACAGCTAAGGTGGTGAAGAATCGTTACAGCATGAAATCACTTTTTGGGGCAGTTACGGACGTTTTCCTGCTAGCGCACACAGACTTTCTTGTTTGTACATTTTCATCCGGGGTAAGTATTCACACTTATTATATTGTATAACACGCTGTCTAGTGTGCTAATGGGTCACTCACCTTGAAGCACTATTGTTAAAACCAGGTGGAGCTGCAATATATATATATTCAGAGAGTTTGTTTGTTTTGAAGTTAAGCACAAAGCTACACAATGGGCTATCTGTGCTCTGCCCACCACTGATATCAAAACCCGGTTTCTAGCGTTATAAGGCCGCAGACATACCGCTGTGCCACTGGGGTGGGGGAATATTGAGAGAAAGAGGCATCTATAAAGTTAAAGTAAATTACTTATTATTTTTTAACATTAACCACAAGTAAGAATTCTGTGGGCTTGGCAAGGCTCGGTGGTTAGGGCGCTTGACTGGCAATATGCCGGTCGCGGATTCGAAACGTCTTTTCAGCCAAGGGGTCAGTATAATGTGATGGTCAGTCACGGCGGGTGATGTTCACTAACTGCCATCCGTATTGTCTTTCATTGCTAAATTAAGTACCGCCACCTGAATAAGAGATGGGCAGCACCAGGTAAATCTGCCCGAGAACCACGATGATGCACCAGCACCTAAGTTGCACCAACGGTCGTAAGGAGACTTGTAAGAATTTTGTAGTGTCTACTGATTGTATAATGGTGTTTTTTTGTTTTTGTTTTCTTTTTATCGTAAGTATATGTCTATGTGTGTGCCTTTAGCAATCAAAATATTGCAAGTTTCCCATAGTGTATTATTTATAAGCATATTTATTTTGATTTATCAGTATTCCGTAATAACATTTATGCTAGTTTACATCTTTCCTCTTTGTAATGCCATCTGACAAAGAAATTTAAATGATCCAAAAAGTCAGCTTTTTATGAAAGTGCACAGATAATCACTACCATCCGAGCGCGGGGGAAAATGTTTTCATTCCTATGTGTCTGTGTGAGTGTGAGCAGTATAATTTGGAACTTTTCCATCTGATTTGATAAAAATGTTGACTGTTCTCTAAAGACTAATTTTTCATTAATATTGAAAACTCGAGAACATAGTGAGATATAAATAGGATGTTGACACAAGTTAGACCCACGTCTTTGATGGTGAGGAACTGTGTGATGTATATTGTCGGTCGGCAGTAGAATTTAGATGCACGCTCTGATTGGCTGTTTCGGGTGGAGGGAAGAGGGTAGAGACGATGATATAGTGCCACTCACCAAAGATAATGCCGTCATAGTTCCACGAAATGGCACCGGAAAGCGCTTATGTGGAACTAGAGGGTGCATTACTAGGGGCACGTTCCTAAGCCGCCATGAAAGGCGAAAATTGGCATGTCATCATGGGGTGTTGCTAGGGGAGGAGTGTCATCATAGTTTGATACCAGTGGGCCTGGTACTATAGGCGAACAGTGTTACCAACATTCAGTAGGTGGATAGTGTTACTAATGGCAGTGTTTATATAAGTAGACTGTGTTACTTAGGTTCTATAAGCAAATAATGCTACTAAGAACAATGTTAGCATAGTTCATAGGATTATCGATTAATCTATAGTATTTTACCTCGTTTTGTTGTAAAATATATTCTGTAAAGATAAATAGTAAATGTGTTTGGATTTATAAACACAAAAGAATAGATGGAGAAACCTCTACTATTTTGAATTTATCTAGATTTGAACAATTTCAATTTAAACAATTTCAATATAATGTAAACATACTCTATATTTTAAATGTCTTGTTCAACATTTGTTTCTGGCTTATACAATTAATAGTTTAGTCAGCTCAGCTGTTTTGAAGTTAAATAGACTGATCACCTTAGAATGAACACATCACAATTAGTCGGAGTTAAATGTCTCCATGGTGTTAATGACCGACAGGTAGAAATGAAAAGAATGTCTATATGTAAATAGTTTCAGTAGTAATCTCTAAGTGATCATTGCATACGTTTTTATTAATTAACAAATGAAGAATATTAGTATATATGAAATAGACTGTACTATAAATCCACAAAGTTTCTCAATTTCATTTGTACTGTATGTTTTATACTTCAAGTGAATATTCTATACAAAATGGCAAGTGTTGCTATTTTAAATAGTTTCTATAATAATAAAGTAATTGAGTAAACAGTAAGTCATTCATTTATTATATTTAGTTGTGTTAAAATGGTTTACTACAGAGTTTCTTAACCAGATATTAAAATTAGAGATATGACTAAAACAAGAGCTATATACATAGATGGTTTACTTAAAAATATGTTTAATCCATAAGGCCAACCATTATATCTAGTGAAACATGCATTATATGTGTATATATACTTGGACAATGAAACAATAAGTTTGTATGTTGAATTATTGAATATTATTTAGAGATTTAAATAAGCATCCTTTTCAGGACAAAATGGTTGATATATAATAATAATTATAGAAATGAATTAAAGATAAGTGTTTTACATAAAAACGTCAAGAAGTGTAAAAAGTATGATTAAACAAAGAAGTGAAAACTATAAACAGCACGTTAAATGCATGTGAAATCACAAAAACACAATCATCTGTCTCGTTCAATATTTATAAAAACGATGCATTAGATGTGGTAAAAACTTCTCATCAGTACATTAAATGTGCTAGTAACACTATCTTCCTATAGAAAATCATTTAATGCATAAATAAGCTATAAAAATAAGATGAGACAAGTTGAAATCTGTATGCAATCCTACGAAAGTATAGTAATCCCATTCGACATTGTAAAACACACGCACTACACCTAGTAAGACCAACTATCTTTGTAAAACATATGTAAATAAAAACTGTAAAACAACATGTGTAGAATGGAATATTTTGTCAAGAACAATGAAAATATTAGTTATATTAGCAGAGAAATAGCATATTTAAAACATAAAGCCAAACTAGTGAAAAAGTAATATTCTAAGTTAAATTATTGCACGATATTTAGAAGTTATCACAAAAACTCCGTCCTCTTCAAAAAAAAGTATGATTAGAAACAGAAGCAAAAATGTTAAAAACAGTAATAAATGTGATAGGAACACTATCCAACTCTTAAAAGAGCACAAAGTATGTCATGCAAGTTAGATATAGAAGAAAAACTTTAGAACTAATGAATTAGTGAAGTGTTTTATACATAAAGTGACAGATAACTGTAAAACGTTGGCTAGGCAAATATGATGAAATACTATAGATTAATCGATGATCCTATGAACTATGCTAACATTGTCCTTAGTAATATTATATGCCTATAGAACCTAAGTAACACAATCTACCTATAGAACTTTGGTAACACCATCCGCCTATACTAACCAGCCTTCTTGTACCAAACTGTAATGCCACCTCTCCCCTAACAACACGCCTTCTGGTGCCGCTATATGGCCCTAGCTACACACTCTCTGAACAACTTCAGCTTAGGAACGTGTCTCTAGCAACGCGCCCTCTTGTGCCACTTTATGGAACTATAACGTCATTGTCTGTGGTGAGTAGCGCTATATCTTCGTCTCTACCCGCTTCCCTCCCCCTAAGGCAGCCAATCAGCGCGAGCGCTTCTGAACAGTTCAGATAACTATTGTGAACTACCGCAAAAGTAAATAAAAATTGAGGAATTGCACTGTCCTAATGCCCTACTAGTTTATCAAAGGTTTGGGAAATCATTTTAACGACACTGAGTTATCTCATATTTCGAATCTCTACTTTGTAGCGACATAGATTTTGTAAAACAAAAAGGAGAAAAATTATTCAATGACATAAATAGTACTTACGTTAACCTTATCATTACGGATGGAGGCAAAAAGATGCAGCATCGCTACTATAAGCTTACTGTTAATTAAAGCATAAATAAATAATATTGTAATGTATAACAGTATAAACAAAACAAAAAAGAGGTGGTCCTTAACGATTGTCTTGAATAAGGTAATAAGTAATGTATTGTTTTATAAACACTTGTGATAATGACCAAGACATTCTAAGAATATTTATCCCTATTTTAACCACTTCTTATTGGCTTTTATTTACACCACTTCGTGTAACAGATTAGGTACTTTTAATATTTATAATGCCATTTTGTCTTTGGCGACAGTTGTACGTTTAACAGAATTGAAACTTTAAATATATAAAGACTGGAACAAATTCCAACACTTGAGAAACATGCCCCTTTAAATATCTGTGTAACAGTACAGAGACTGATAACCAATAAGATTATTTAATGTAAGCACGAAGTATATAATGGTTAACCGTTAACGTCATAGAAGTGATAACGTATCGGTAATCAATTTGTATTTTTTTAATATATGATAGTAGTATTTTAAAACGTTTTCAATATGTCTCTTCCTTTGAATAGAACAATTTAACAAGCACTGCTGTTCCATATATAAAGCGTTAAGTTAAAGAATCTAACCTGGCCCCTCAGTGGTATGTTTGCGGACTTACAACGCTAGAAACCTGTTTCGATACCCCTGGTGGACAAAACACAGATGTTTGTTTGTTATGGATTTCGCGCAAAGCTACATGAAGGCTATCTGCGCTAGCCATCCCTAATTTACCAGTGTAAGACTAGAGGGAAGGCAGCTAGTCATCACCACCCACCGCCAACTTTTGGGCTACTCTTTTACCAACGAATAGTGGGATTGACCTTCACATTATAACGCCCCCACGGCTGAAAGGGTGAGCATGTTTGGTGTGAGGGGGATTCGAACCCGCGACCCACAGATTGAGAGTTGTGCGCCCTAACCACCTGGCCATGCCGGGCCCAAAACACAGACAGCCCATTGTGTAGCTTTGTGTTTAACTCAAACAGGATCTAAACTAAATTTTCCTATACATTTTTATACAGTTTTGCCGCTTGTCCTACGAACTCATGCAAACAGATGCAGATTTTTCCAGGAAAGCTCACTCCTTAGATGTGGAATACCATTATGCCGGTTCTTTACCTCCATCTCGTCAAGTGTTGTACTCGCACTCTCCACTTTTTAACTACGAGATGGCGCTGCAAGTAGGAGATGTTCTAACGAAAGGAAATGAATACGACATCGTGAACGAAGCCAAAGAAGGGAGGTTATGGGACGGCTACAACAAAGCTTATAACTTACGAACAAAACTCATGTCTCTCTATCCAACATATAAAACTAAACCACTGACTATAGTGGGAGATTTTCCTAAGTACGCTAACGTTAAGTTAGTATCTCCATCTCCTGACAAGGATTTCGAAAATCTATAAAAACCGGTACCCCCCCCCACCACCATTACCAATAAAATAAATAAACAAAAACTAATAATGCAACTTTATACTAATGA